TGGGCGCTGTGTAGAATTGAGAAATAATTTCTGAGTTGTTAGAAGCCCCCACCTCTATAGGTGGTGGGTAGTTCACTAAGTCAGACATTTCAATAATTCAGGACTTTTTTATGAAATTTGGAAAAGAGTTTCTAAAAAAAGACTTATCTCAATACTATACTCCACTGCCAGTAGTTAAGTTTATTTCGTCAATTTTGGATATTAGACCTAACCAATTAGTAATAGACCCTGCTGGCGGTAGTGCTGATTTCTTAGTAGGTGTTCTAGAAAAATACAAAACTTCGCCATATCTAAACGATTATAACAACAACCTTTTTTACTGAGATATTTCTGAGGATGCTCACAAGGTAGCCCACATAAATATGATTTTGCACGGTGATGGAAGAGGAAAAATGAAGGTGCTAGATAGCATAGAAGAATACGATAAAATGAATGAAAAATTTGACTTTTGTATCACTAATCCGCCTTTTGGCGATAAGACTGTTTGACAAAAGGGTGAAAAACTTATAGAAAAGGATGGAAAAAGAGTTTATTCTTTATCTGCTTATTCTTATCAGTTAGGAATTTTATTTATTGAAAGAACAATTAATTTGCTAAAAGAAGGCGGAATTCTGGTCATCATTTTGCCTTCGGGGTACTTAAACAATCAAAGTTTAAAATATATAAGAGAATATCTTCTTAAATACACAATTGTTGCCGATATTTCTTTACCCGAAGGAGTATTTAAAGGTGCTGGAACAGGAGTAAAAACGGACATCTTAATTATGAAAAAAGAGATCAATCCTCCGCAGAGTTATAAAATTTTTGTTTCTTCTCCTAAAAAACTTGGTTTTAATTACCGTAGTAAGAAACTTGAGCCTATATATAAAATTGACGAAAATAGCGGTGAGTATCTGCAAAGCAGCGAGAACACCAATATTCCTGATGATGAACTAAATGAAACAGTGGCTGAGAAATTTAAGAAATTTTGTTGTGATGAAAACTTAGAAGGATTTGAGAAATGTAAAGCGGGAGATGAATGTAATTCTAAGTTAGAAACTTACGATTTTTTAAGGTTAGAAGAGTTAAAAAAGGATGAAAATTACAAACTGAAGCCTGAATTTTTTCTTAATTCTTTTCGGGAACACGTGAATAAACTTGCTGATAAAAAAGCAATAACTTTGCGAGAACTCTTAAACAAAGGAGAAACAATATCAGTTGAAAATAAACGTTCAATTGAAGTTGAGGATTCTTCTGAGTACTGGTATATTGACATTGGTAATTCTTCTCGCGGAGACTATTCATTAGAGAACCCTAAAAAGGGATGAGAAATCAAAAAAATTGACCGTGCTAGGCAATCCATTAAGAAATATGACATTTGTTTAAGCTACCTTTTAGGAAGTAGAGACAAATTTTTTATGATGTTAGAAGATGAAACGGACAATATTGTAGTTACTAATGGGTTCTACCGAGTTAGGATAAATAATGAAAGTATTCGACTATCCTTTTTTGCTTTTCTTTTTTCAAAATCTTTCGAAATTCAATTTGAAGCATTTGCGACAGGTCATATTCAAACAAATATAGTGCCTGAGAGAGTTTGGGATTTTAGGTTTCCTTTGCTAAGTGAGGAAGAAGTTAAAAATTGGAAAGACTATTTGGTTAAGGTTGAGAAATCAAAGAAAGAAATTAGATTGCTTACGAAAAAATTAGAAACAGTTTTTTAAAATAATTAGTGCAATAAATCCCCCTTAAAAATTGATATATATATGCCTAATGATTTAGAATTATTTTTTGAAGATTTAAAAAACAAAGGAATAACTGCCGACTTGGCTAATCACGAAAATTTTTGCCAATTACAACCAGAAGAAAAAGTTATTTACTTAGGGATAGACTGCACAGCTGAAAGTTTACATATCGGTCATTTGTTTTTGTTGTTCCAAACTATTCGTTTTGCCCGAGAGAGATTTCGGGTGCTTTTGGTGTTAGGAGGTGCCACTAGCAAAATCGGTGACCCCAGCGATAAACTCCAAGAACGACCCCAATTAGCCAGCGAAAAATTAGTCGCATACGAGCGGGCCATAAAATCCCAATTGGAAAGGATTCTTTTTGCTCCGTTGCAATTAACTAATTTAGATTTAGCCCCGCTAGAAACTTTTTATGCCAACCAACCTGAATTATTAGAAAATATATACCGAGTATTAGAAATTCCTCCCACCGGAAAAAATGCGGAAAAATGAGCCAAATACGTTGAATATATTTGGCCGCTCGGGGAAAATAAATACCAAATCTTAAATAACCGCGATTGACTAGACCAGTTAAGTTTTGTTGATTTCATTGACCAAGTTGGACGCAATATCAGCATTAACTACTTGCTGGCTAAGGAAACAATTAAACAACGCCGGGAAACTGGTCTGTCTTATGCAGCATTTAGTTACTCGCTCCTCCAAGCCTATGATTTTTATTATTTGTATAAAAATTATAATTGTCATGGGCAGTTGGGGGGGGAGCGACCAGTGGGGTAATTTAACGACCGGATTAAAGTTAATCCGCGGCATTTACCCCACTAGCAAAAATTTTGGTTTTACTTTCAACATGCTAGCTGACAAAGAAGGCAAAAAACTCTCCAAGTCCGAGAACAAGAAAGGAATAATTTGGTTAGACGAAAAAAAAACCTCTCTCAAAGAATTCTACGATTTTTTTCGGAATATGCCCGACCCGCAAGCCGCAACATTTATCCGCCAATTCAGTTTTTTGACCGAAGAACAAATACAGGAATTATTAAAATTGAACCACCCGCCACGGCTACGAATACTCCAAAGAATATTATACGAACTAATATTTATCCTTAATTATCGTTGTTATCAGAGAATTTTTGCTTAGTTCGCTTGGGATTTTTTATCCAAAACACTCCTCTAACCGCTGCCACACCGATTACTACTACTGCTAATAACAAAGTTAAAATTAGGAGGAGAAAAGAGTTATTTTCCTGGCGAGTCTCGTCGCGAGGAACAGGGGAGTTAGGAGAAGAAAAAGTTTTGGGAGTTGTATTAGCCTCGCTATCGTCGTTTTTTAAAGAAGAAGGAGGGACACCAGAGGGAATAGTTTTTCCTCCTTCTGTCTCGCTGTTGTCGTTTTTTCCATGAGAAGGAGAAGGAAGGGTGGTGTTGTAAGGACTGCCGTCTTCGATTTCAGACGAAGAGCGCAGAGAAACTTCTTTTTCGGAACTGTCGGGAGCGAAAAGAGGTGTTTTATGTTCTGTTAAACTGCTTTCTTTTTTTTTATCAACATTTTTAATGGTAAAAGAGGGCAAAATGTCAATTGTTTCCGGTCTTAGCGGCGTCTGCTCGCTGTCCTTGCTTTTTGTAATTGTTTCCGCAAGTGGCTCAGCCAGCGAAGAAGAAGAAGAACCTCCGCGAATTGTTTCTTGGCCTTCTGACTGGTCCAGACAATTTATAATCATCTCGTTTTCTAATTGCTGAATTTGGTAAGCATATTTTTCAAACCAATTTGGTTCTCAATAATTTTTAGTTCACTCCTCAATCCGCTCGGTAACCCGCTTTTGCCAATTACCCCCATATTTTTCATTTAGTTTTCTCGTAGTTTCCTTGTCGCCGCTTAATTTTTTTTCAACACGCAAAATAGAACGGGTGGTCATTAAAATAATCCCTAACCAATTCTTTCCCCTGCCATCTCTGCCATTACCCCAAAAATCATCCTCCAAACTATCCTCAATTATTTTGGTATGACCCGCATTAAGGAGAATTTCCTTTAATTTCTTTTTCTGGGTAAATTTCTCTTTTACTACTCAATACATTACTTTCAAATTGATGTTAAATCAACCCTCTCTTTTTTTGCCTTTGTACTTTGTATTGGCTAACCAAAATACTCCTCCTGGCTGCCTAAATCCTGTGTCCGGTGCCTTCCGAATTTTCTCAATAATACTTTTGTCAGCAAATTTAGCAGCTTGAAAAAGTGCCTCACTCGTTTTTCAACTTCCGATTAAATGAGGACTTAAATTTAAGTTTTTTAAATTTGGTGGTATTTCACTAATAGTAAAAGGTGCTGAAAAAAAATTAGTAAATTCGTAATAAGGTTGTTCTTTGTGATAAAATTTGATTTCTTCAATTTTTTTTCAGCAGAAATTGTCCGTAATTTTTAGAATGTAATTATCGCCAAACTCCTTAAAATTGAAATATCCCTTTTCAACTTCAATATTAATAAATTTCCCATTGCAAAATTCCCCTTCGGGGATAATTAGCGAATTGACTTTTCTCTCCGCCTCTCCTTCTTCAATAATTACTGGTTCGATTTCATAATGAAAACTTGGGCTGTGACTTTCCCCCCCCCTCCCAAAAATTTTTAATGAAAATATTTTTTTTTCTCTTCTGCTCATGACGTTTTTTTTAGTTTTACTGGAAAATATTTTTCGGAGAAAAAATAAGTTAGAAATTTAGTCTAATTTAGAGCGGATAAGATTATTACTTCATTTTGTAAACTTCCTGGCAAATTGCTTGGCGGGCTTTTTGGTCCTTTTGGCTATTTTTAATGGTGCTCCTGGAAGGATTCGAACCTCCGACAACTGGTTTAGGAAACTAGCACTCTAATCCACTGAGTTACAGGAGCCAAAATATAGCTAATTTTGGAACATTGCTCTAAAAACAGGATTTTCATTTTTTTTCCTGACCGATTAGCTGTGTTTACGACCAACAAAAAACGAATTTTTAGAAAATTCAGACGAAAATAATGCGAATAACTTTTTGGCGGAGATAGAGGGATTTGAACCCCCGCGGATTTTACTCCCTAACAGTTTTCGAAACTGCCCCCTTCAACCAACTTGGGTATATCTCCTTGGATAATTATTTTTAGCAATTATATAAGAAATTACCCTAAAAAAATGTTGATTTTTTATTACTCGGGCAAAATGAATGCTCGTTTCTTATTCTTTTTAAATTACTTCAGGTAATTTAGTTAAAACTAAAAGCAGAAAATAATTTTACCTAGTGTAATAACTATTTTTAATTAAAAATTTTCCAAACTTTTTATTTTTTTGGAAAAATGAAAAATTGATTGGTCGTTTTGTTTGGTGTAAAATTGTATATAAATATTGCATGGCAAACAATTACATTTGTATTAAAGTATCTCCTAATTGAGTCTTCAAATCTGATGATAAGGAAGTCACAACTGAGGGAGTGTTTTGGGAAGGCGAGAGTTACTGAAGTATTATTTTAGATAATTTGCCTAATGCAAACTGGTCTTTCCTCAGAACTGCCCGCGACGAACGCCATTTTGTTCTGTTAAAGGCTGCCGAAATAAAGTCTGATGAAAGCGGTAAACTCTGCTTAACCGATCCGGTAATTTTGAAGCAAGAAAGTCAAGTTATTACGGCTAGTGAAGCCCAGGAAATAAATAGTCTCGGGGCAAAAAGCCAACAACAAACCGAGTTCGTGCAGAAAATTACGAAAAAACACGAAAAACTATACGATGACAAGTTAAAGTTTTTATATGATTTAAAGCAAAGGAACATGTGGCAGGACGGGCTGAGTGCTCCGCAAGGATACGGAACAGACGAAGTTTTGTGCGACGAAGGTTTGCGTCGTTGATTATACCTAAAAGGGATGATTACCAAAACCATTGAAAATCACAACTCTTACATTATGGAAGCCCAAACGGAGGAAAATTTTTTGGCCCGCAGAAAATTATTATTGAAATTTATCCTAAACAGCCAGAAGACTCCCACTTCCATAAGTGGGGGATGAATGGCCAACGCAACTTCTTAACTAATT